ACTCATTGGATTTGCCAGGCAGGCCACCGCATAATTCACAACTGAGGGTTGGATCGCTCCGTAATTTGAATCTACCACGGCTGTACAACAGCACGCGCTTAGTCACTAAAAATTTAAAAAACCGTTGTCGAAGCCAGCATTTTAAATTTCATATCGAATATCGAAAAGGAAATAATTTTCCTTCTTTTCTACTCCTCCATCATCGTTCAGAAAATGTGGAGAACTTCTGAATAAGAAAGGAAGACAAGAATTGATGACTTCAATCTATTGCAACTTCCAAGCTGAAAAGTTTTGATATTGATCAAGCAATTCGAAAAACATTTCTCACAATCATAGTTTACTTTGGAAATAATTCATCATATGGGACCTGAGAGAAAGCTTTCAACAACAAATTATCCACCACATTTGTCAGCAGGCCCTCAAAAAACGGTGTCACCTGTCTGAAAATTTCATCGATGTTGTCATTCAGAAGTTTGTTGGTCCTGTCACCTGAAATTACAGAAAGATATTTTCAGTAATATATTATATAACGGGGAAAAAGTAAATAGAGTCAAAAACTGTTACATATTCAACACCTAGTATTCAAAAAAGCAAAATGAAAAAGAAATTTTCAAAATCGAATGAAAAACTATTGAATTATCAAGTGAATCTGTGATCTAAATTGTTTTTTAAGTTCCAGGAAAATATACAGGTTTACCCAAGTCTGTTTCTTTCTTTCATAATATCAAATCGATTTGATGGTTTAACTCATTCGATACGTTTTTTATCTGATTCAAATCTACTTCGTCGATTACTGATTTGATGTTGAAGAGTTTATTTGAAATTAGTTGATTTCTTCTTTTCTTCGAAGATGAAGAAATATAAAGCCAAAACCTTTCATTCCCAAAAATTATTCTGCTCTGAAAATATACCCCTTTCAATTCATTCAATAGTAGTTTGATTTCAATTATATTAAATTTTCCAGTCCATTCTTCAACATAAAAATACCTAATTTTCAGATTACATATTGGAAATTTTTGTACCAAGGAACACATCTTGTTCAATTATACCTAATGGTCTCATGCATTTTTGGTACCACTTATGACAATTTTAAAAGGTAATGGAACACTGTCATCCCCACTGGTAGACACCGATGTTCCACCGTAAGATACTTGTCTATATTATGAAAGTATTTGTTTTTCTTTCGTGTAATTCAATGTTTATATGAAAGTTGCTGTTTCGAGAGGGCTTTTTCTTCCAGTTTGTGTCTGAAAGTTACGTCTTTGCGTGATCTACATATCTATGTATACAGTAGTTAAAAGACTAATTCTGAACATACCTAGTTCTTTATTTCCATCGAAAAGACCATCCAAACGTACCGAGATTTTCGGTACTCCTATTGAAATTTTTGTTTCGTGTACTCTCAGATATTCTACACGTTTCTTTCTCACAATCTTTACTATTTCAGTAACATTAGCTTCACCGTCACCTGAAAATAATGAACTAACAAATTGAAATGAATCATTCGATAAATCTTAATTTTTACAACTAAACAACAACAAACTTTTACATCTGAAGTGAGGATATATTTTGTCATCAGTTATATAGTTCATTCATGAAAATGTAAAGTATTCATAATGTCGATATATGAAGTATTCGAAACTTTCGACGTACATCAGCAAATGTTTTTCTAGAAATAGCTTGGCATTCTTGGATTATCCTTTCCTTCAGTTGCTTTTTAGAGTCAGATTGCGTCTTAAAAACAACAGAATTCAGATAACCCCAGAGGAAGATATAAAGAGGAAATAGGTCCGGGGATCTAGGATCTAGATCATTCAATAGGACCTCTCCTTCCAATCCATTGATTAGCATAATTATTATCTAACCATCATCTAACTGTCACTACATAATGAGGAGGTGTCTCATCCTGTTGAAAATGTAATGAATTTTCTTCTAAAGATAAATTTCCATGTATGTTTCTCTGATTCTCTAATTCATGAACTATCTGATGTTTCGCCATTTGAATTTTTTCCTATAAATTATGCATCTCCCAATATACCAGCCCCAAACATTGACTTTTTCGAGGTTTCGTTTCTAAAGAATCGTGGGTTCTCGTCACTTCAGTAACGATAGTTTTGTTTATTTGTGTGTTCATTTGAATCAAAAGTGCACTTCTCACCAAAGCAAGTATTTTTGATGAGCCGAGGTTCTGCGATAATTCTAGCTGTCATAATTCCACAAAATTCAATTCTTCTGTCGGGGTTATCGTTACCAAGTTCTTGAAGGATCTGCATTTTATATGAATGAAATTTATGTAGATAATATAAGTTTTTTCCTTACAGATTTGCGGGATAATTCGGTTGCTGTAAGTATGATTAATTGCAAGTACGTGTGTTGCTTCGTCCAGTTATCTTGGTTAGTACCTTTTTTTATACGTAATAGTACCAGTGTTTTGAAATGATGCTACTAGTTGGCGAATGTACACGTGACTATTTCTCTCCGGGTGCCTCTGATTGAATACTTTAGTTGTTTTTAACGTACTACCATAAATAAAAATCATTCCCACACGTCCAGCTGTGTTGTACTCTATTGTTGCAGATAAAAATTATGTTTCTCATGTACAACGTATCGAAATAAAAATTAAATGTATCAATAATAAGAGTATCGTTTTCCGCCTTGAAGTAAAAAGTGCAATACAAAAATACCTCTCAAAAACAAATATTTGGAAAACGCCTTTTCTGTTACTTTTATTTACCACTTACGAATAAATGAAAATACTACAGGCGTAAAATGTTCAAAAATCTTAATATTGATGCTACGATAGTAATAACAATATTTTCAAACATTTCTCAAATTATTATTAGAAAATAAGATTTTGATTCGAATAAATAGTGTTTTATTTATTGAACCAAAACCTACTACATCGAATGTAGCTTCATAGGGCATTTCTAAAGAGCTTTTAGATAAGGTTTTACAAGTAGGGGGTTGCCATTTGAGAATATAAAGTTGGGGTGGCTGGGGGTATTTTCACTTACCCCTATTTTGTTTTCCCCTTTCTATTATAAAAGTTGTTTTTTTATCAATTTCTTATATTTTATTTGGTTGCTCAGATATAACCATTGTAATTTGAAGGTAGTTGACAATATTTCGTGGTGCATTTCATTAATTCGGACTTCCATTGTCTAATATGACATAAATTGATTTGAAATCCCCGAAAAAAATCTATAAAGAATTGAATAAGATATTAGCTGAAAAATAACAATTATATTAATAAAAAAAACTGAAATAACAATGAAATAAAAAGGAAAGCAACAACCAAAAAATCAAAGAAATTGAACTATTAACACGAGGTGAAAATTAAAAAATTATTAACAAGAAATGAAAATTTAAAAAAAATAAAATATTCCAAACCAATTTACTTCACCACGTTCCGATTGTTAGTATCCACAATCATCTTCGGATGATAACTGGACTTATTTCTCCGAAATCTGACTATTTATAGGTCATTCGAGTGCTTTCACCCATCCCCTCCTCCCACTCTCCGCTTCATCGATTTTAGCGAAAGCTGACTGGAGGGAGTTGGTCATGTTCCGCTTGATAAGAGGTTTCCATATGTTGCGTATCTCTACGTTAGCTTGGCCGAATGCGTTGTTGGACAACACATATGTGGCTTCTTTGAATTTTCTCCTAAACCAGTGTTCCTCCTTGTGGATGACTTCAGTTTGAGCTCACTTGATATTAGGTTCATGAGTCCAAACATGATCTGCAATTTCATGATTTGCTAGTTTCTCCTCATTTTGTGTATTCCTTGAGCTTGCCAATGCGGGTTTTCGAAGGCCTGTTAGTATGATTCTCCGCACTCGCAGGGTATCCGGTAAATGCAATTTTTGGAATCGCAGTCCGCGTTTGGTGGCCTGGTTTTCGTGAGGCTGCTACGGATAGTGTTTTTTTTGACTTTTTGGTTGTTGCTTGCATTTTATTTCATTGTAATTTCAGTTTTTTTTGCTCAATATGATTATTATTTTTCAGCTAATCTCTTTTTTATTTCTTCACAGATTCTTTCAAGGATTTCAAATCAATATATATCATATTAGACAATGTAAGTCCGAACTAATAAAGTATAGCTATTGTAAGTTTTCAAATTATCAACCTGTAAATCAAACCCTTTTATTTCATGTTAGACCTATCCCTACTATCTTTCAGAAAATAGTGCCAGATAACTGACATAAATCAAGAAACCTAGCTATTGACAAGTGGAATGTTGAAATCAATCATCCAAACGCTCTGGATAGACACAGTGAGCAAGAATGAGAGAATCTACATTTGCATGGTCAAGATTTCTGATTCTTGAGATTATTAGCGAGTAATACAGAATGCTATATTAACACAATTGGCCTGAGTGGAGAAGTTTGTAAAATAAATGTCGATATTTCTTTTTGGAAGATGTTCCTTTCTCCCGAAGACGAAAACTCCATGACCAAGAAAGTACTAATCAGGAAGAACTACATCGGTAGTAGTTGTTTTTTTTCTGAGGGTGTAGACCAATACATTCATCACTCCTTTACTCTTTATCCCTATATAACCGTGGTGTCTCGTCAATACCGATAGAATATCGCTAGTGATAATCCTGTAACACCCACTAAGTACACTTAGTTATATCGCAATATATCGATAAATCTCGCGTAAGCCTCGGCAGGAAGCGGGAAGTCTTAGACTGAATGCTGAAATGAGGCTCTGTTGGACAGAGAGCCACCCGTTACCACCAGCGGGGGCGCCTCCCATTAGCCTGTCGTGGGTTTATGAGGTGGCATTTCACCCTGTGGACATCCTGGGGCTCGATATTGAAGTATCATCCTGCTGATCCTCCACTTTTCTTTACCAAACCTTTTCCTGCCCCCAACCACTCCCGTTTGTGGGAGAGATTTAAATATTGTATTTATACTCTGTACATTGGAGCTTAGATGTATCATAGAGAAATAGGCAATGAAGACTTTTTTTGATTTTTTGATTTTGATAGAATATCAGAACAGCAGACACTGAATATAGGTTATGACCGTATAGGTGGGATAAGGGTACACTGAAAAAAAATGAATAATGGTCTGAGTTGCCTCCCTTCAGGCCCTGTATCTAGTTTTAGGAACCTCCATCCCCATCACGAGAACACGGAAAGAATTTCGAAGGTGTTATTGATTCAAAATAAAAATAAGTGAAATAACAGATAACTGATTACCAAATATTGCTGTCAAATTGCCTGTTCCCTCTATTTGAGCTCCGAGAACACTCCCTGAAATTGTGTAGTCTGATACAAGCTTCACTTCTTTGAAAGAGCACCTAGTAGCGAATTGTAAACTTGGTACTCTGAACCTGAAAAAAAATGTGTATGTTGATAAGTTTAATGTCTTTTCTACAATGTTTGAATATTGATGTTTGAATGGTCCCTTTTAAGTCTCAGCTTCGCTGAAATATGAATTCAGTCATGTAACGTTTTGCCAATAATTTTAAAAATATTGAATAATATTCAATATATACAGGGTATTTCTAAATGTCATTTGAATATTTGTTATGTGAGCGAAAGAAATTATTCTGAATAGGAATCACACGTTAAAAGGTAAGACCTCGTTTATCCTTAGCTCGCACAAGTTTCGACTTCTGAGGGTTGTCGTTCGTAGGGGTGCGACAGCTGGTTAACGAAAAACCAGATTTTGAAAAGATTTTTTCAAACTTTCAATATTTTCCATAATGTTATTATACAACTCGTTTTTCTTTGAAGCTATCTAGCAAAGTCGAATCATGAAACGACTTCAAAAATGTAACTTACTATTCTCAGTTCCTGACACATTATACCTTTTCGTTGTTTTTCACAATGGCATTGCCTGCTTTGGAAAGAATATGGAATTACTCATTCAGTTTTCCACCATTCTTGTATTTGAGACATATTTAGGGTAATAGCTCAAATGTTAGAAAAATTGCGTTATATGGAGCCTGATTTGAAGAGAATTACTCATGAAAATGAAGTATCGATAAAAAATAATTCCAGAGATAAATCTTATTACGTCAGAATATTTCAACTAGCGCTGCTTACATGAGATTTATCATTCAGAATGCATGAATACTGGTTAGTGAAGACACGCCCAAAAATCTCACAATGAAGTGTTTTTCGAATACATACTTGAGTCGTTTAAAAATTGAAAAAATCAAGATTCATTTTGAATATTTATTATTGTTAAATGATTTGATATAACAAATGTCAAAATACCTTTTATAATTATATAGGTTACTAAAAAAATATGGGAATGAATTTTGAATGAATTTTGATTGGAATTTTCACTTTTCACTGTGTCACATACCTGCATAGTTTATATACCTGACCAAATCAGGTATATAGCAAGCGCCAAACGTGATGGCGAGCGATCGCGCAAGTGTAGACTATCCCAACTAAATTACTATTGGGGCTTATTGGGGCAAGGGGCTTATCGTAAACCCCTTGCCGGCCAGGGTTGTATCTATAATTAGTTTCAATTATGGTAACAAATGGAACATGACTTCTTTGTAATTCCTTTTTAGTATTTTATTCAATTCGTTGAAATGTTATATTATGATACACTTATCCAAAAATGAGCTTTTAGTAGGCGATAATATTTTTTCAGAAACAAAATAAATTATTCTGACAGTGCCAAACGTTAACAGCATTGAAGGACAAGTAACGATACGTCTCTGTACAGAGCATTTGTATGTCTTGCAAGAGCTGTAGTGCGAATTACACTGAAAATGAGTTTGTGCGCATGGGGGCGGGTTCGCCGTGACGTTTGGCGCTTGCTGTAAAACAGATATTTTCAATTTTTGCTGTAAAAGAGGATGACGTCATGATTCGATCCGATATAATAGTACTTTATCACGTCTTAATCAGTGTTATTGTTATAAAATTATACTTAGTGTGTGAATTGACCACGAACCACACAAAGAGGCGTTATGTTACTGTTTGTTATTTTTTTCTACTAACCAGTTGATATTTAGAGAGAGTTCACATAATATTTTATCTGAGTCCACTTCCTATTTACAAAGAGGTTACATATTGTGGGGTTCCTAGTGCTGATAGTTAAGCTAGAGTACAATTACAAAAAAATGGTGAAAATTTGAAGTTATACACCACTCTCCCTGAAGTAAAAGTAAAACTAAAGGTATTTTGTACCGAGTTGGTATGTTTATAGTTGTTTGAGAGTTTGAATTAAACAGTGAATAGCACAGTAAACATTTGCGGCGAATTATTTGTTCTATTTTCTCTTGTTTTATTGCAATTCAACATTTTTATATAAGATTTTACACGTTGTTTTTTTATTATTTTGTCCATAGAGTCGTATTCTACTTATTATACTTTATATTTGAAACTTTGGACATTCATTTTCTCTTGGACTGAGAAAAATACCATCCTAGTAGAGTAATATGAAGTTAAGAGAACACAAACAAATAAGAGACCTTTTGTCAATTTATCGAGAAGAGAATAGTGAGTGAAAAGCATTTCAATTAAGATTGAAATTCAGTTCTGGAACCACACAATGGGAGAGAATATAAGTAAGTATACCAAATGATCAGATTTAAAAAAGACCGGCCTTCGTGCGATCGGCACGAACTCTACAGCTTTTTCGGAACTGCCTTGATATTCAAAATTTGATGCGGAGAAATCTGCATCTGGTGACAGCGCTGCTAAAATTCATTTCAGAAAATAAATGAAGGAGAAACGAGCTAGAAAGCTCCTATACTCGAAACTTTGAAACCTTCAGTTTCTTTCGTTTTCTCTTGTCCTGAGAAGAGGACCATATTATTACAGATGATTACTAGTACTATTCTTGATGTACTCGTATATGAAGTCCTCTATAGCAAAATCCTTTGTATACTGTTGACACTCTGGTGGAAATGTGTTTGAAAATCATGGATATATGAATTCAAGAACGAGAGAAAAATGAAGCTGTGAAGTCACCAAAACTGTTTTTCAACTGAGTACGTTGATGTTATCTATGAACTTGCAATAAGAAGAACAGTACATCCATTGAATTTTTTTCTTACTCACGGGTTTCTGTTGATTTTGATCATTTAAAATTGAAAAAAAATCGAACATAACCCTTTATGAATTCAAAACGTTTCGTTGAATTTAATTTTGTGTCCTACTCCGAATGAATGTTGTGTCCATGAATTTTTGTTAATTCATATACCACTTTAACGTGAAGTCATTATACTTGATAATTTTCAAAACTTGTTTCAATATAATTCAAATTACAATTATTACATGGTATATCATAGACAACTTTAGATTTTTTAAAATCTGTTATGGAAAATTTAAATTGTTCTCGAATGTTTTCAATAACTTCAATATCTCTTCTGGAAATTTCAATATTATTTTCTATCTGAGAAACTTTAATAATTCTGAAGGATGATTTTCTATTATGAGGATGTGTATCATATTAGATTATTTCATACACCTGACTACCACCAATCTAATTTGTTTCATTTGATGGAACTGGCTGATACTTGATGAAGATCATTCGAACTATTATTGTATAGCGAAATACGTATTGCCGTTATAATGGTTTTCTAAGCCATTAAGTGAAAATATTTTGAAGTGACTTGAATAATTTGTAAAATTTATACTTTCTGTCCTACTATTTATGGTGGAAATGATTTTGTTGAGTAATTTTTCTGGAAATAGTTTTTGCTACGTTGGTTTTTTGTTCAATATATAGAAACATTATAATAGAGTTGCCAAACAAAAACACCACTAACAAATCCGACTAGGTCAGCGGTGTGCACTAAATCGTGGGTGCATTCAATTCAAAATGATGGAGAGGGAAAAAAGTGGATCGCCATCAATTTTTCTTGGCCAGATAGAAACCGGAAAACTGCTCTGTTGGTGCAGGAATCCAAGAGTGGTAAAAAAAATCTGAATCCCAATTATATTACCAAGACAATTTATTCGGATTTCAAGCAAATAACATTGAACTGTCTGATATTTAGAGTTAATTTAATCATTGAATTCACCTTAGAGGAAGACAACAAAAAAAATAAATAACAAACGCTAATATGTCACATATTGTCACATGTTGTCACGTAAAAGCTCACACCATTTATCGCGTTCTGTAAGATATAGGAAGATATAAACACAAGCAAGTTTCTTTATTTTTTGTTTGAAAGAACTTGGCCTAAACTTAGCTGCTTTTCTGGTTATCCTCAAAACGATGGAGGGGGTGCAGACTGCTCTAACAATATTCTGGAGATACTGACGCCCGAGAAATTCGACAGTGCTGCTACGATATATCCACAAAAAGAAATCGTAGAAACAAGCGATAGTTTCCAATTTATTTGAATCTAGCTGCAGATACGTTTTTCTATGGGGATAGCTTAACATCCTGAAAAAAATATTCTTTGTCGCGACAATATTTACATGAATAGTGTGGAAAGAAAAATTAGAAGTTAAGATTTATCACGAGTTGAGTTGCACGAAAATATTCTACTAACCTCTTGACAATGGAGGGTGTTTTCACGGTGATTTTCCTTGGAAAGTTGACAGATGTAGATACTGATTATCTGCCTGGGATAAACCCTGTATTTGTAGCTATGGTTTTCAATACTACAAGATACTCTGAAGCACACAATATCAAAAATAAACCACACTCAGCCGAAAATTTCAAAATCCCTTCTAGGTAATTAACCAACGAAAAATTGATTAGAATAGATTGAATAGAATAGATTGATCGAATAGATTGAAATATAATCATAAAATGAATCCCAGATCCAAATAGTTTTTCTAAGCCAGAATCATCTCAACGTTACAATCGAAAGTAGTAAAAACTTACTCAAATGTACGGCAGTCATAATTGGTCAGACCATGAACGAACACATTTGTTAGGTTAGCTTTGATCCTGAGGGCTTCGGTATCTCGATCCACTTCAAATCCTTTGACAAATAAAGGTTCAAACGGTGGTAAATTGATCTCTGGTATACCCTTCGCAATGAAGGGTCGTACAGTTTCCATAGCCTGCAGCATACATTTGTTAAGAAACTGGTCTGATCTGTGACAACGTGGAAAATCTGCGGCTGAAAAGTATAGCATAACTTATATCACCTGGTATGAATATTGTGAAAGTAGTTCGAGAGATTTTGTTTTATTTTGAAATATCACTACGTATGTCATTTTGAACAAAAACTCTTAACTTAATGAGTTTTTCAGTCGAAGAGAATAATTTTTTTCCAATTTTGTGTACACTGATATTCTTGTATTAATTCTGAAGAAAACGTTGGCGACATGTACACCCCTGAATGAAATTTATGCACCATCGAAAAATGTTATTACAAAAAATATAAGAAAGAGATCAAAGAGTTACATATTTTTCAAACTACAATAAAATACTAGGCTAGTTTTCTATTGTAGTTCGAGAATATGTACCACTCTCAAAATCTATATCTATATACTAATATGAATGTGAAAATTTGTAAGAATGGAAGTATGTATGTGTGTGGCTCTTTCACGCCTAAACGACTGAACGGATTTAGATGAAACTGTAAATAAATACAGCTCATACATCAGAATCACATATAGGCAACAATATACAGAGGTTTCGTGTAATTTTGGTAATAACATAACGATAAGTATTAAGTAAGTCGAAAAATTCTTGCTCCCTGATAGCTATCTTGGCGTGCGCTGCCTATAACCATACTATAAAGAGTCTTTATATTATGCTATAACGTTTGAGTTACATGCAGACAATGTACCATAAGATTGTTTATCTTAAATGGTTTTGAATAAAAGTCCGGGATAGCATATATTTTCCTCTTATATGGTAGCCACTATATGCAAAATACTGAGCCATTATGGAAGAAATACATCGAATATAGAGCCCACACAAATACACTCATGAAATTGGCAAAACAAAAGTTTTACCAGAATGAAATAAAAATAGCCAAAATAGCTCAAAAAACCCTGGGAACTAGTTTACAACAGTAATAAATCTGAAAAAAACACCGCAATTAAAGAAATACAATGTGAGGACGGCACAATAACTCAAGATAATAACATCAAAGCAGATATATGCAATGAGTTTTTCGTGAATGTAGGAAGACAGCTTGCAGGTAAAATAAGTAAACCCACTACGAATATTCCAGAACAAACCCCTAATACAAATTAACTCTTCCTTACATCAGTTACTGATAACGAGATCAGAGAAATAATATACTCTCTGAAAAATAGAAAATCGCCAGGACATGATGGTATCAGAGCAGAACTCAAGGAATTAGCAACTGAAATCACACCCTTACTAACACTTTCAATAAATAATATATTTCAAACCAGTCAATGTCCAAACACGTTAAAAAAATCGATAGTCACACCCATATTTTAAAAAGGAAAACCGGATGTAGTCAGTAACTACAGGCCAATATCTCTTGTAACAAGTTTCAATAAGGTATTCGAAAAAGTACTGAATTCGAGGATAACTTCATACATTGATAAATATAGGCTCATTTCTTGCAAACAATATGGTTTTAGAAAAGGTCTCTCAACTAATGATGCAATTGCTGCACTAACAAGGGAAATAAACGGACACATAGATCAGAGACGGCCGGCATTATGTGCCGAAAGCAAAAGCTTTCGACACTGTTGACCGCGATCAGTTGTTGGAGGTATTAAATAAATCAGGAATACGAGGCAAAACACAACTACTTTTCAGAAGTTATTTGAATAGCAGAAGGCAAATAGTGAAAGTAAACAATACTCTCAGTTCTGAAAGAGAAATTACTTATGGTATACCACAGGGTACTGTGATTGGACCTACATTATTTTCATTATATATCAACAGCCTACTTACCATGAAGATAGATGGTTCCATTTACAGTTTTGCAGATGATACGGCCATAATATATACTGATGATAATTGGGAAAAATTGAAAATGAAAGTTGAAACCCAAATCAATGTATTGAAAGACTGGTTTGATCGTAAGTCACTCACAATCAATTTTGAAAAAACAAAATGTCTACCCTTTGCAAGTTACGAAAATCAACTACCCAACTATAATGAATTAATAATAAATAACCACGGGAAAAAAATAGAAGTCCTAAGAACAGACCATATTAAATACCTAGGAGTCACAATTGATTCACATTTGTTCATTCAGATGGAATGAACATATTAAAGAAATAACTAAATCATTGAGATGTTTATTTTATAAATCTAAGTACTTGATATCCGTTCTCGATATCAATCACCTCAAAATAATATACTATGCATTGGTACAATCTAGGCACCAATATGCCATACTCAGTTGGGGTGGCATATTAGACATCCACCTGAAAGAAGCTGAGGTATTACAAAAAAAATAATTAAAATTATGTACAATAGAAAGAATGACCACCCCTCTAATTATATTTTTAGAAATTCAAAGCTACTTGACAGTTATATATGCATAATATAATATTGTATATCTTGAAAAATAAAACATCTCTTCAGCAAATTGGTCATGATTATAATACTCACACTGAAACAAAAGGTAATGTACAACTAAACGCAACAAAAAAGTCAATTGGGCAACACTCTTACAAATACCACAGTGCAAAAATTTTTAATTACTTACCTGATCTGTACAAAACATACATTCATAAAATAAATGAATAAATGAATAATCCTCGTTTGTACTTAAGAATAAAATACCTACGTTGTCATTGTTCGTTCATACTCGTTTACTGCCAAATGTATTTTCATTTGGCGTCTTGATGCCCTTTACCCATGATTTTAAAAAACATACACAAATTTAATAACCCTCATCATCTTCCATCTTGATACAAAAAACAAGGATGAGAGAATCTTCCGAGAAAAGGAAGGAATTAATCAATTTCAAAATAAGTAACTCTGTACATGGATGTCCATTAGTCTTAGTTTAATATAAAATTTTTGTCATCGCCTTGTTTAAATGTAAAATCAATACTGCACATCAGCTATGCATTGCGCAACTAAAGAATTCCCACGCACAACTTCGGTTTTAGTGGGTTTCTCCATGTTTGTTTGTATTGCTTTGTTTACATGTCACTATCTTGTGCTGTTGTATATTTACAAATAAACATTATTATTATTATATTTATTATAAATACAATTAAATTGGACACTTTTTTTGCAATACACATTTTGAAATAACTGTCAAAGTCTTATTAAAATTTTCCTTTTAAGTATTTGATATAGATAAACTTTGTCTTTCACATCAAGTGATTTGGAAGAATCGTTTGAAAGTTATCCCTTGACTCAACGCAGTAAGCCATTACGCGCCGCGTCTACTGTAAGACGACGGATGACGATGAGCGGCGGGAGAGGGGCGGTCTAAGCAATGAAGCGCCATCGCCGAGAACGCGACCTGGACGCGGGCAGACACGTGAGGGCAGACGTCGTTGATGGTTGTGTTAGTTTTGCGAATTTTCTTACAGGTAGGTTCTTTGTATAGTGTAAATAAGCATCAAGAAAGGGAATCAGGAATTTTCACCCCCAAGGAGTAAAATAGGGGTTCAAAGATTGTATTGAATTTCGTCAGTTTTGAAGTTAGTAACCTGAAGTTTTTGGTTGAGAGGAAAATGTTGTAACTATTCGTTTAAAATAGTCTGTCACAAAACTTAATGTGACAAACCAAATTCTACGCGGGCGAAGCCGCGGGCAATAACTAGTTGGTCATATGCAAAAGTAAAAAGCTATCAGAAATAATTTCATAGGGAACAAATTAACTGTTATGTAATGATAGTTATCAATACTCACGTAAATTTTTATTTTCGGACACTTTCATGAACATAAGCAACAAACAGATGAGCAACTTAAAGCCCATTTTAATAACCTCTTATGGACCACTAATCTTACGAAAGACAATTAAATAAGCGGTAATGAACTGAGGCTTTGCGTTTTATATCAGAAGAAAAGAAGGTGAGTTTTCTGAGTAGTACGAGGAAATTAAGCATTTTGAGTAACTTAGCAATTCGTGAAATATAGGTAATATTTTGATAATTTCATTTCTTTCAGAAAATGTCGACTTCTCATCAGCCCTTTTTTCAGGCTCAATCCGATTTCCAAACACGCTCAAGTGTAGCTTCTCACCCTTTCATTTCATAAAGTCCAACTTCGAGAGTTTGAAATTCGTGTGTATTAAAAATAACAGTTGAGCTGGGGGCCAGATCTTTAGAATACGGCGGATTCGGAAGCAATTCGAAGCCTAATTCATGCAATTTTGTCAACGTTTTCATTGAATTGTGACACGGTACATTATCTTAATTGAATAGCACTTTCTTTTTCTTCCGCCCTTCAAACGATTCAATAACAATATGTATTAGTCGCTGTTGATGGCTTTTCCATTTTCAAGATAGCAGGGTTTCTTATGATGGAACAGCTTGAAACACTGTTCAGAATCGTCAATTTGTTGTTGTTTTTGGTCGATTGTCAGCTCGTGCGGCACACCGAATATGTGTGCACGATATGTCCAACACGTTCTTTTATATCTTGAGAACATCGGATATCTCGATCAACTCCACTTTGCGGTTATCCAAAATTATATTGTGGACTTTTTTTATGTTTTCGTCGATAACAGCTTCTTTGGAGCTTCCACTGCGTGAATCGTCCTCGGTGCTCATTTCACCTCGTTCAACCTCATCTCAGCAAATCACTGCTCAACGGTTGATTTTCCTGGTGAAAAGTTCAAATAATGTTCATCAAGTCAACATCAAATGCTCTAAATATTACTGGAGTTTTTTCCCAACACCAAATCGTTAACACCTCGACACGTGTTTCGATCACCAAGTGATCATCTTCAAAGAGGAAGATTAAAACTAAGAACTAGTGCGACATAATCCTATTTATGCTATAAAGGTAACCCATACAGGTAAACCATCCAGGCGTACCAACCATACAGGTAAACCATCCAGGAAAACATCCAGGCGTACCAACCATACAGGTATACCAACCTAAATTAATTTTACAATTGTAAAATACATTTTACATTTGTAAAATTTTACAATTGTAAAATTAATTTCACAATTGTAAAATTGATTCAGGTTTACAATTGTAAAATTATATAAGTATCCCTGTATTAACTTTACAATTGTAAAATTAATTTAGGTTGGTATACCTGTATTAATTTTACAATTGTAAAATTTTACAATTTTAAAATTAATTTAGGTTGGTATACCTGTATGGTTGGTACGCCTGGATGGTTTACCTGTATGTAAAATTTTACAATTGTGAAATTAATTTAGGTTGGTATACCTCTATGGTTGGTACGCCTGGATGGTTTACCTGTATGGGTTACCCTTATAGCATGAATAGGATTAGCTCGCACTAGTTGTTAGTTTCAATCTTTCTCTTTGAAGATGATCACTTGGTGATCGAAACACGTGTCGAGGTGTTAAAAATAACGATTTGGTGTTGGTAAAAAACTCCAGTAATATTCATTTCTACACCAAAGGTTCCAAACAGTGCATCATTAGTATCAAATTCTCTAGATAGTTTCCGCTATTTCTCAAACAATAATAAATAGATAAATTAATAGATCTTTATCGTCTGAAATGTAATACAATTTGTCGACAAAGGGTGTCATGTTTATAAATACATAAAATGTTAAAAATATATAAAATGTTGTTTTTTTAAAGAGTATTCACAAAAATACAGTGAAGATGAAAAATAACAAACAAAAAAACAATCAAAAAATATCGAAGATAAGAAAAAATGTACAAATATGTTATCAATGAAACAGAACAATTACAAAATTACTTGGCATAAATCGTAATATTCATCGTGGTACAACGAAAGACTAGAATTTGTATGAAAAATAATCTTCCAAACTGTAGAAGCACTTTTCCAAAACAAGGTTCTTTACTGATTTTCTGAATTTTTTAAATTCATTAATTGATTTAATATGTTTTGGTAGATGATTATATATTCGTCTACTTCTATAGATTTGAGACTGCCTGGTCAAAGATGATGTGGGCAGTTGAGGGGCAATTTTTTTATCGCTACGCGTAGACCTTTCTGTATGGCTTTCAAACTTTTCTTTAAGTTTGTGGAGTAAGCAGACAGTCTCTAGAATGAATATTTCAAATAATGTTAATATTTTATTTCTGCAGAAAAGTGGCCTACACCAGTCACGCATCCTCAATTTGAATATTATTCTCGAAGATCTTTTCTGGATAACGAATATACTCTGCATCAAAATATAGCTGCCTGAGCACCAGAAAGGAATTCCATACCGGAGATGACTCTCCATAAGTGAAAAGTATGCATTTATTGCTGCTGAAAATCCGAGTTCACGAGATATGACATTTATGGCAAAGCAACTAGAAGATGATCTCTTTTTTAAAGCAGTAATTTGCGTATCAAATTTTAAATTACTGTCAACGAATATACCAAGAAATTCAGTTACAGGCTTACTTTCAATCATGTGTTTACCTAGTATTACTTGTTCTAAGTCCCACTTGAATGTTATCAGATTTGTTTCAGCGATAGCATTTTCGATTCACACCATTTTTTTATTTTTTTCTAAATCTGAGTGGATAGACCGAGTCAAAGTATCAAGATCTTTATTTCGCCAGGGTACCGTTATTTCATCCACAAACGAAGTAAACGCTCCATGTCGTTAATATATAACAGGAATAAAATTGGGTCTAGGACTGACCCCTGAGGGCCTGTTTTCAATTGTTTGCAATATACTTGATAGTTCGTATGGAAAACACTTTCCCAAGAGCAGAACAAAAATTACGGTCTCTCCTGAGGATGCTAACTAGGTAAGCGAAACGCACGTCGAGAGACCGTAATTTTTGTTCTGGTGTTGAGAAAGTGTTTTCAATATATTTGCGATATACTCCTTTTGAATAACATTGCACATGAAAAATACTGAACCAAATGAGTTGCTCAACTAATGAGATGAAATTACCTAATATGACACATTATTGAATTGATACAAACATTTAACCAGTTATTGATTGTTCTTCCTCTTTTGATCACATGTGTGATGCAATTGTTCAACTGTTGCTTCATTCGTCAATAATGCTGAAATAGTACAGATGAACAGTTGAAAAGTTGGTTTCGGAACCCATTGTGTACACATTGATATTGGCGGCTATTTCGGAAGTACAATTTTCAATCGATACTCTTTCTTACTCTTACTTACATTGTGTAGCTTCCTATGAATGATATCTTCTAATTTTTAATAGAAATGTATGGTGTAGAACAAAAGATAATCCTGAGTACCTAATCCAATATTTTCCTTTGGTGCCTCATATGGATTTTTCTTCATGTTTGCATCTGAAAGAGACGAAGGAATAGAAATCTGACAAAATATTTACCAAAATAAAATATCTCCTGAAAAGGTTTTCTTACCGACTTAAACTTCATTTATCTCGGCTGTCTGTGGAGCCTGAGTTTTCGAACGGTAGCACCAAATATGATAGTGTAAAATATGATGCACTAGCCAACTATCATTTGCGAACCAGAATCATCGTTGTTTCACAAAGTTTTATTTTGTTCGGTTTGATAAATATAACGGGAATATTACCCTCAACGAGCTTATTCCTACGATTTGACTTAATTTTGAAGGAAGCTATATTGCATTCACGTTCAAGTTCTGATTCCGGTTATTTTCATACTTTGACATTCAAAACTGTTACGAGTTCAATGATGCTTTCATAAATTACACTGGAGTCTGACCTGCATATATTCTATTTTAAAGCGGGATAGAAAAATGAAATAGTGTGGTCGTCAACGTAGGTTTTTTCGAGGTTTTTCTGTTACTCATCTCTCTTACTTTTCAAATTGTTATTTCACACGCTTAATATTAGCTCCACTTGTATGTATGTTTGTTTGTAACTCTCCTTTTCATTTCATATCGGGATCTGTATTTGACAGAATTATCGACATTATTGCTTGATATATTCGCGGGCAGATGGCGCTGTACATAACCTCCTTGATATATCGACATTATTGCTCGATCTATTCTCAGGCAGATGGTACTGTACGTAACCTTCTTGATATAATTCGAACTCACTTTACATGTATTTCTTCATTTGAAAAAAGTATTTTTTTTTATTAATACGCGCGCCTGGTGCCTTATTTGTAACCCTCCTTTGCGCGCCTGCTGCCTTGGGCTTGATAGCTGATTTTCAGGCTCCCTCTCCGGAATCGGAAAATATTAATGGTCATTTTTCTAAACAATATATACCTTATTGATCCCAAAGTTTCGATAAAATGAATGAAAAAAAAGGCAAACTAAATATAGTTTAAAAAACTAAAGAACACGCTTTTAAAGAACATCGAACTAAAAAGTTGAAAAACGGAAAATACTAGTATAATTGTGAAAAAAGCGTGGGCGCTTTGTGTCATATTTTTTGTATATCAAGCGCCCGTCGCTTTTTTCACAATAATACTAGTATTTTTTGTTCGTTATTGTTTCAAGCTTATTTAATAAAATTATTTTTAACTTTTCAGTTCGATGTTCTTTGAAAGTAAGTTTTTTAGTTTTTTAAACTTTATTTATTTCTCTAGTAGACTTGACAAGTTTACATTGTTCTTGTACCAATGTATGTCATCAAAGCTTCTGAAGTATTGTAGCGATAATTTTCACTTTATTGATTATCAGTAGTTTTGTGAACATTCATTAGTTACCTATTCCTTTCATAGCGACATTTTATAGTGGAAGGCGTCTCCCTATTCAGTCGGGTGGAGAGTTGCTCTTGGTGGTGAGAGTCCTCTTGAAGTGTGTGTATCCGTTTCGATAGGATGTATGACCTTTTCATCGTCACTTGCGTAACTTTCGTGACGCGAGCCTCTGTCGTGATTGACCTCTTGATTGACCTCCATGAAGTAGT